ATGGCGGAGGCGGCGACGGGCACGGGCCGCGCTCGCCTCGGGCCGCGCGGGGCACGCTGGGAGCGCGGCGGGGAGGCCCGCCCGCACCGGCGCTAGGCAACCAATCGCCGCGCCGGAGCTCCCTGAGTGACGGGTGTTCCCGGCCAATCAGCGGCCGCAGGCAGCACCCAGCGGCCAATGGGAGAAGGGAAGGCGCCGGCGCGCAGCGACTGAGGAGTGTTGGCGTGAGGGGCTGCCGGGCGAGCCAATGGGAGCGCGTCGATTGGCCGCCGTGCGTGGGCGGGACTTCGGGGTGCGCAGCCAATCGCGCTGCGCGCCGCGCCTGGGCAAACCCGCGAGAAGCCGCGATTGGTCGAGGAAGCGGAAATCACGGAAACGGCGGGGCGAGGAGGGAATGACGTTGGCTGCGACCAATAGCTTGCAGCGCGCTCTCCTCCCACCCGCGGTGCACAGCGATTGGAGGATGCGCTTGACTGACAGCGAGAGCAGCCAACGGAACACGGGCAGCGGGAGGGGCGGAGCTCCGTTAGAATGACAGGCGCGGGAATCAATCGGAGGCGGGAAACGAGGTGACCAATCACAGCTGGGGTCGGGGGTGGAGCGGGCCCGTCAGTGCGCCCAGCCAATGGCGTGCGTCTCTGCGCGCGCTGCGCCCAATGAGCATCCAGCAGCGGTTTTGGAGGGAAACGGTGACCAATCAACGATCGTCCCGCTGTGGCGCTCTGGGCCAATCGCGGGCCTGGAGGTTTCCCCGTGCCCCGCCCCAGCGCTCCCAGTCTCTCCCAGTTGCCCCAGTCCAATATATCAGAGATCGATCAATAAATAAAACTTTATTGATGGGGGACGGGTCGGGTCCCCTCGGCCCCGCCCAATTCCCAGGGCCTCAATCTGGGCGAAGTTCACAGTATTTTGGTTTAAAAAAAGCCCCAAACTGCCCCACGGGTCACTTGGGGCACCTGGACAGCCGTGAACAAGCACGGACAGCAGTGCACAGGTGTGCAGGTGTGTCTGCACTCATGTCCGGGTGTGCACAGCCCACGTCCAGGTGTGCCTGAGTGTTGACAGGTGTTCCCAGGTGTATCTACAGCCACGTCCGAGCGTGCACAGCCATTCCACGCTGTGCCCAGGTGTATCCAGATGTCTGCCCAGGTGTTTCCACGTGCACACAACTGCTCCCAGGTGTGGCCGCCCCCAACCCTGCTCTCAGTCCTGCAGCTGCCCCCCCCCCCCAACTCCAGGGGGGCTCCGGGGGGGGGGTCGGGGGTCTTGGCTCCCCCAAATCCTCAGGGCTCATCGTCCTCTGACGTCAGCGGCCGCTGGGGAAGGAAAGGGGGAGTCGGGGGGGGGGGCCCTTAACCCCTTCTCCCCCAGGGCCCCCCTCTCACCAGAGGGGTCCCCTATACCTGTCACCCCATCCAGGCTGTCCCCAAACCTCCCCCTGCCACCTCCCCCCACCCCTTTCACTCACCAGGGGGTCCCCGAGCCCCCCCCCATCCAGGGGGTCCATGGGCCCTTTCCGGAAGGTGGCGTTGGTGAAGCTGATGCTCTTGGTGTTGCGCCGCCGCCATTCCCGCCACATCGCCCTGCCTGCCACTCCCAGGCACAGCACCAGCCCTAGGAGGCACGAGGGGGAGGGTCACGAGGGCACCCCAAAAAAATCGGGACACCCCCCC